AATAGCAGACGGCTTGGGCCTCCTGGGTGCATACTTAATTGTTCAAAGGAAGGTGTCCATTTAGATTATCTTAAAGAAGTGGAGGGTATATGTGTTTCTGTTACATGGTCAGACAAGTAGCAAGTGGAGGGATTCTTTTTTTTTTTTTTTTTTGCGATGAATTCCAGGAGGTATTTGTAATGATTACCTGAGAAAGCCAGTGTGCTTTAAGAAGGACAAACTTCTTTGTTTCAGTTGGACAAAGGCTGAGGAGAAATATGTCTGCTCATGGTGGCAGAAGCGTCCTGAGGTTAAAGAACCAGGCACGTTAATCCTCAAGAACAGAATTTAAGAGATTGTAAGAGCTTACTCAGGCCTGATGCTAGAGACCTTTAACCCCAGCTATTCCAGAGGCTGCAGCAAGATTCTATGTTCAGGGCCTGCCCGAAAGAGTTCAAAGCCAGCTTAGCTAAACCTAGCCAGACTTTTATACAAAATTCTGAGCTATATCAAATGAGTTCAATGTTAGTTCTTAAAAGAAGCTGTCTTTTACAAGTCTCTTATCTCAGAAAGGGAAATGACTTGACCCAAGGGACATAACATTTATGCATTCTTCTAGTATGCGAACTTCATGAGTTCAAGTTTGCTTTCTGGCTTGTTCAAACTAGGAATAAAAATATGGTGTGCATTTTCACATGTTAGTAGTTAGGCAGTGATGTCTACCATTAGCCCAAGTGAGGATTTTAGACCCCATCAGCTGCCTCCAAACCACAAAAGAGTGGATGTCAGAGAACTGGGCATGAAAAGAGGAAACAGGAGGGCAGAGATTCCAGGACTGGGCTGGAGCTCAGTGGTGTGCAATGAAGATGCAAGGCCCGGAGCACAGGCCTCAGCCCTGGGCTGAAAACAAACAAGAGTAGTTTTTAATCTGAGTTAACAAGAGAAGATTCAAAAACAGATTCACTTATCCCTTTTTAAAGGCCTCTGTTTGGTGTGTTGAAAAGACTGGATTGTTTTTTTTAAAGTGCCTTACCCTATTCTGTTATTTTAGGTTCCCTTCATTGAGGAACTATTAAAAAAGTGAAAAACATTAAAAAAAATGAAACTAATTATAGTCCAGTGAGTTCTGTCATAGAATAATGTTGGACACTTCCGAAAGAACCATCAAATACTTCTTAAATGAATAATTATTGAAAAAAGGAAGAAAAATTTCCTTAATTAGAGAAATTAATTAAAGATCTTCAACTTAAATTCTGTTTCTACTTCCAAAATTAACTACTTCCTCATAACTGCTATTTTCAATTTGTGTTTTCCCTCCAAAGTTCTTCCTATATAATCCTATATAAACATATCTAATTATTTAGAAACATGCAGTTTTATTTGTAGTTAGGTAACACTCCCCCCTTTCACACATATTGGTTTGTTTTTTGCATGTTCTTTTTTCATTTGAAATTATGACAGGAATGCTACGTTCGTTTACAGAACTTAACCCCATTTTCTTCTACATGGTATTATGCTGTGTGTGTACCATTGCTACATCATAGACTTCTGAGTTATCCAGCTTAAAGATCCTCAAGTAAAATTTTAGATGTTTAAAAGTTAGAAATGATAAAATGTAAGTTATTTTTAAGAACATATAAATAAGGCAGCTGGAAAGGATCAAGACAATCCTATGGGTAGATAAGGGTACCTGGTACTCGTATACTCAGCAAAGATTAATCCTTCTCTCCCGCCCATCTTTCCTTAAGTCATTTACATTGGAAAAATATGGCTATGTAATTATTCAGTCTCTTTTTATCTTCTCTAATATGTTGTTTCTTTATTTGTGTGGCTTATTGAATGTTTGATCCTTGGTCTATGGCTGTTTCAGGTGACTACTCAAGACCTCTTTCCCTCATGAATCCACTCAGTGTGTGGTTACTCTATCCTAGGCATCAAGGAGACCATCAAAACTTCCTCTTTGTCTCTGTCTCTCATTCTGTGGAAAGAAACCCATGTTTTTACACATGCATACAGGATCTAGATAATGCTAGTTTATAAGAATCTTACACATTCGTGGGCAAGACAGACACATAAACTAATAAAATATGTAATGTGATAGAAGACTGAATAAATCAAAAATGGGGTGATCAGGGAAGGTTTTTACAAGGTAGATGATAATTGTGGTAGAGATTAAAGTGTCACTACCATTTAATTGAACAGATAATACAAAGGAAATGACAGGTAGGAATGTAAAGTATAATAAGGGCTTGGGTAAGTGAATAAAGCAAGGTACCATTTAGTTTGTCACTGGGAAAATATAAGATGTTTTTATGCATAGAGAGTGGCTGGTAGTGAGCAAAGGAGACTTGAGTCCACTGAAAATTGGTTAGGAGGTAAAGCGCTTGATGTGAACCCATGAAGACTAGAGTTCAGTTCCCCAGAACTCATGGAAAAGCTGGGTGCAAAATGCATCTGTAACCCCAGCAGAGCTGAGTGTGGGGGAGGAGGGCAGAGATAGGAAGAATCCTTGGAACTGACTGGCAAGTCAGTCCATGAAAATTGTAAGCTCCGGGTTCAGTGAGTGCCTATCTCAAAAAACAGAGACATTGAAAAAAGCATTTGAGAAAAACTCCTAGCCTCTACATATATAGGCATACACATGCACACACAGTAATGCTTATATACACACACATACCAAATGCACATGTGAAAACTGATAAATAAAATGAAAAACCTTGGGAAAAAGCACACAAAAAATAACAACTTAAAGGGACTGATGAGCCATTTGAAGAAAGCTAAATCTTGGAAGGTATTTAGAAGAAGGGAGGGAACCGAGCAAGTTTTTTTTCTTTTTTCTTTTTTAGATTTCAACTTTGAGAACAGGCTCCAGTCTGTGTTTTTGCCAATAGAACCCAGAGAAAAAGTTTCTGAAGACACAATGACCCCAAGTACAGATTTAAGAAAGCCACTAAGTCCCAAGTAACATAAATATAAGGAAAAGCAATTTATGTACATCATAGATAATAGAAATAAACAAAATTAAAATTAAACATTTTTTTCCTTATTGGTGCACAGTTGTAACAAGTTCAATTGGGAGGCAGAGGCCGGAGGATTTTCAGCTCTAGCCTAGGTTATATAACTACTTCCTGGACTCATGAACATCTTTAGACCAGAAATTGTACGATTTAGATGAAATAAATAAATTGCATGAAATACAGCTTACCAGAAGTGATAAAAGATAAATGAGGAAATCTAAATAGTACTTTTATAAAAGAAATTTGAGTGCTAATTAAAATTTGGGTATTAAAGAAATTTGAATGTTAATTCAAATTAAAAGATACTACAAAGAAAACTCCAGGCCCAAATGGCTTCATTGGGTAAAGGTAAATTCTATCAAATACATAAGAAAAAAAAACCCCACTAGCCTTACAAAAAATATTTCAAAAAAAAGAAAGGACATAATTTTTAAGTCGTTTGTGACACCAACTCTGATGGTTAAATTTTTTATTTAAAAAATTTCATGCATATACTTTCTTCTTTCCTAAGTACTCCTAGCTCTTTCCCTCCCCATATTTATGTTCCCCCTCTCTAAAACAAAACAACCAAATAGACAAAACAGCAAAAATGCCCAAGAAAAACAAAATAAAACCTAAAAAGATATACACACAAAAGCCACCAAACCATTATAAAGGACAAAAACCATGCAGTTTATTTGTGTTGCATAACTACTCTTGAGCATGAGACCTGCTCTGAGGTGTGGTGGATATGTTTCTCCAGCGTCACTCCATTGGAGGACACTAATTTCCTTCTCCCAGAAGGGATCAGTGGCAAAGAGCTTGGTGAGTGGTGGGATTTGGTGTCCAGTTCACATTTTTTGTGCCAGGATTTTGTTCTGCTTAAGTCTGTGCAGGTCTTGTATATACTTCCACAGTATCTGTGAGTTCATGTGTGCATCTGCCTTGTTGTGTCTGGAAGATGCTGTTTCCTTGGAATTATTTACTCTGGTCTTTAACAATCTTTCCACCTCTTCTTCCACGTAGATCCCTAAGCTTTGAGGGGAAGGATTTGATATAGATATTTGATTAAGGAATGAGGACTCCAAGATCTCTGACTGTCTGCACATTGTCCAGTTGAGGGTTAATATGTTAATTACCATTGACTGTAAGAAGAAGCTTCTTGGGTGAAGGCTGAGTAATGGAGTGATCTATAGATATAGGAATATGTCATTGGGAATTATTTTATTGCTATGTTCATTTAGAAAATAGATTTTCCTCTAGGGACCTATGTAGTCTCTGGTTTTTAGCCTCAGGAGTAGTATTAGGGGTGGGTCCCAACTCTTAGAGTGACCTTATATCCAAGCAAAAAGTGGTTGGTTGCTCCCATAAAATTTGTGCCACTTTTGCACCAGTATATAATGTAGGCAGATGACTGTTGTTGATCACAGGGTTTGTAGTTGGGTGAGACTGATGATTACTTTTCACCTCTGGTTGTGTGTATAGAGACTTCCAGCACTATTAATACTGGCCATTAGGGGTGAAATCTCTAGTTAATCATCAGCTAAATTTCTCAGTGTTTGATGGCATTAGTAAGTGGTGTCTTCAACAATAGTGCCTTACCATCTTATTATGGAGTGTAACCAATAGCAGCAGTAATAGTAGTGTAACCAATTGGCAATGGCCTGTAATGTTGGGGTCTATGGGGCTTCTTTGATCAACAACTCAGCAAGAAATAACCCATTTTTGAAACTAGAAGTTTTACTTGGAATCATATGATGTAGATCTAGTTGGGACATTGTCCACCACATTATATAATAACTCCATTTAAATTCTTTTTATGTATGTATATACCTTAGGGAACTTCTAGAGTAGTAGGTTTCCACATGGCTTTTCAAAAGGCCTCCTGCTTTAGTTATTCCTTCCTGGGAGGGATGGTTAATTTTGATTGCTGGTCTGAAAATCCAAATTGTTGAATCACAGGTTCAATAAGGGATCCTTCCTGAAAAAATAAAATGGAGAGCAATTGTGGAAAGACCCGTGAAGCAATCATCTAGCCTGGGAAGAAACCTGGCATCTTACTATCTTTTTGTGGTGTTGAAGATCAAACCCAGGGCCCCACACATGGTAGGCAAGCACTACTCCTGTTCATTACTCCAGATACTCACTTTTTTTTTTTTAAAGTGGCCCTATGATTAGGCTATCCATTAACCAAGAAAATCAGTCTTTGGAAGTGATATACAGGTATCAGTAGTTTTTTAAGGTCTTCATCTTATTTTAAGATGTACCCACATTTGAAACCACTGAGTAGTGATGCTCTAAGATACAAAGACATTGCTTAATATGAGCACAAGGGCCAGGAAATGAGACCAACAGGTCCATGTACTGTAGGTGATGGGGGAATAACAAAGCTCTTAAAGCAGGAGAGTAATCTACTTAGATATTGTTTGGGGGTCACACTGTAGATATTAAAAAATTCCCACTCCCACCTCTTCTACCTTTCAACATCAACCCTCCAAGAGTTCTCAACTTGGAATCAGGACGGAAACTTCTGTTTTGTATTTTTTGTGTTGCAATAAAAATTATTAAAAATAAATGAACTTACAGATTTCTCCAATTCTCATTATTATGATACTTGCCAAGGTAAAGGCAAATTTCTATATATGAGTAACAAATAAAATAATAAAAATAATAATAAAAGATAGAAAAACCACATCTTCCCTCAAGAGTCTTATGCGTACCAATACATGCAATCTTCCTCTGAGTTTTGAATTTAGATGAAGATGGCTTTGAAGTAAGGTCAGGAGCATGAGGCTTGACTCAAGGGTTTGAACTAAAGAACAATATGACTCCCGATACCACGGAGCTCTGAACACAGGAAAGCTGCCCAAGGCTGCAACATGAAACTCTCCTCTGAGTTAGAATGTGTATTAGCTGGTAGGAGAGGAAGTGGGAAAAAACTGCAAAAATTTAATTAAATAATGTTTTGCATATTTTTCTCCTTTGGACTCAATTCAGTCACAAATGAAATAGCAGTTGCCTGGGATTTCCACAGCATTAATTAATTCAAACAAGGGAAAAATGAATCAGAACCAGAAATTTATTTATTATGCCCTTCTTTCTTTTAAGATCTCAAAACTCTCGTAGTCTCCTGTGATTATAGGAGTTTGCATTTCTAAGACTTGGTATATCCAATTTAAAGTGGATTAAAATATTCTCCCAGACATAATAGTAAGGGGAGGATATTTGTTTTCATTATTTTTTAAACTATCATTTTAATGGAAACATTTTTTTCTTTTAAGTGACAGAAATAAGACTCTTGAAAATGTAACACTGCTAAGGATAGAATGCCTCTGGAAGTACCTTTCAGAATGGACTGGGGTTCATCTTCTTTGCACTGTAAAATGTACCTGTGTTCAGAGATGGTGTTCATTGCCCTTAATCTCTGGAAGGGGATTAAAAAAAAAAAAGAAAGAAATAACTCCATGTTAGCTGAGTCAGCTACAGCATCATATCTATGGACACCAAATTTTAGGAAAATTATAAAAGAGTAAATTGAATATTAATTGGAATGGGATATATATGTTATAAATTCTAGTCCTGATTTTTACCAGAGGTCAGTCTCATGATGGGTGTTCCTTCAGTCCATCTCCAATCTGCACTAGCACTGTAACACAATGCTGGTACTATGTCAGTATTTAAAACAATTGAGATTTTAAAGTATTCCAGGACTTGGTATCTTTTTATTCTTTGCCTTTCCATTCTTCTTAAAGTAAGAGCTCTGATTTGTAAACAAGTGGAAGATGATTTGTACTTCCAGAAGATTCACACTTTTGGAATGGAACATCCTCTGGTGTCTGCTGCTGTGTCTCTCTGGCATGATCTCTGTGGTAAGACAATTCCATGAGCCGCCGTATGTTAGCAATGAGTATTGTTGCCACAGCTTCTCTTTTGATATTGTAGTTCGCTTTCTGATCTGTTTCTTTCTCTATCATCTGTGCAATGTCAACAATTAATGACAATACCAGAATTTGCTAACACAGTAAATTTCTTATAGAAGGTAAAATGCACTTCATTTATGATGACATATCCTGAACTTTCTCCATTTTATCCATGTGTTTTTTTCTTTCCCCAGGGTTGTTTAAACATTTCTTAAACTCTTAGAATAAGGGTGTGTCAGAATTTTCTGTGCAAAGACAAAGGACTCACACATGAACCATAATTTAAGCTGCATGCTCATCCTCTTTTAGTATTCTTTTCAGGTGAATTTGTTGGATAACAGTTTTTTTTTTTATGTTACACTTTGGTTAACCTTTGTTCTTCTAGGGACAGCACAGGTTATGTGAGAAGGGATTCTAACAGGCAGTGAGAATTCCCTGTCATATGTGCATGTGCTCCTTGAGTTCTAGGCTTCTGTTTTAAGAGTCAGCTATATATTTTTACCATTTAACTCTGCAAACACAGAAAGTTAATTGCAATGATCTACAACTCCAGTATTAAATACAGCTTCTGGCTGGGTGAGATGGTTCAGCAGATAAGAGCTCTCGTTACACAAGCCTGTGTACTTGAGTTTGAATCCTAGAACCCATAGTGGAAAGAGAAAATCAACTCCTTAAGGTTTATTCAGGAGTACGCTGTGGTGCATACATGGGTGTGCGTTTACAATCACAATAATGGCAATACATAACTATGTGAGCAGCCCTGTTCCTGTTCTGGTGTGATGTGTGTGCAGCTGATGTGATAGAATATTTTATCTTCTGAGTTTTCAGTTTCATTTCTTGCTAGTTTGTCGTGATGGCTCTGAACAGTCACCATGAACATCTAATCCTGATCTGTCCCCTGAGCTGAGGAGGTTCTGCTGACCTCTTGCCTCTGTACAACTCTGTGTCTTTTGAACTTCTGCATCTGTAATTGGGTTTCCTGTCTTCACCTTTGTTTCCAGACTCAAGGTTGTTATTTATCTTGTTATTATTTTGGCCTTTAGCAAGATCAGTTCTTATACTTTAAGCTGCTACTTACATTTGGCTGTGAACTGACAAATTAGATAAAAGCAGGGAAAACATAGCCTTTAAATGAGCGTCTTCTGTTGCCAAATATGACAAATGTGCTTGCACAGGAATGTTACCATTTATTTTTATTATTCTTAATTATGTGTATATGTTTGCATGTGGACACGCGTATGTGAATGCAGGTACCTTCAGAGACATCAGATTCCCTGGTCCTGGGAGCTGGCTTTCTGGACAGTTGTGGGCCACCTGACATGTATACTGAGAACTGAACTGTGGTCTTCTGAAAAAACAGCAAGTGCTCTTAACTCCTCGCCATCTCTGCAGCCCTATTTTTCCAGTTCTTAAACAGTTACTCCTTTTTTTCTTTAAATACTGAAGACCTAATTGAGCACTCAGCATATGCCAAGACAGAACCTTATATCTGTCTGCCTATTGGGCTTATTCCTGAAACAGTCCAGCAAGTTGTATTCATACAGATAAAAATCCATAGAGTCAGAGAAATTGAATAAGCTGACTGTATTACTGGTAAATGTTAGAAGCAGAATTTGAACCCAGGTGTGATTCTTAAGTAGTTAGAATGAATTCAGTACTATTTAAGTAGAGTAGATAGATTCTGAACTGAAGACTCTCCTTTAAGAAGTTCTAACACAGGACCTTGGGGCATCTCTGTGGGATCTGAATCCATTCTGATTCTCGCCATCCCTACAGCATTACTGCTGGTACACTGTGGAAGGGTCTAAGAAGCCTGGTATTCAGGACAAACATGCTGAAAGGACCTTCAAAGCCCTCAGCCAGAAGGGGCAATCTTCTCCTGTGGCCCGAAGCTCTTTCGGACTTGCAGAATCCTGAGTACACGCTTTACTATGTTTCTTATACCTGGGCATATGATTCATGATTTAGGAAGGAGCAGGTAACCTCTAATAGCATGGCAGTGATCCTAACGACCATGATTCTCAGGGATGCAGATATTAATCTCTCTGTATGCATCTAGATGAGACAGGGTTTCAGAGCGTAGTCTTTAAAGTTCATCTTTCTAGGTTCAAATCCTAGCTCACTGTGAATGGGTATATCCAGGCAAGTTCATGTATGTATTTGGTTTCTCTTATGAATGAATAATAGGGAAAGTAGCAATATACCTGCTCATAGGACCTACTCCTACCTGCTTTGTTTTTAGAACCAAAGAAGTTAATATATGTAGAAATAATTATCATAAAGCTTTTATATTAATTGAGTTACAAATGTTAGCTATTATGGTTCTAATTTGAATTTTAGGTTTTTTCTGTTTGTTTTTTCTTTTTTCTTCTCTTTTCTAATTTGAATTTTTAAACCTATTTTTTAAAACTCAATGTTTGTGAAAACGGTTAACAGTCTCTGAAAAGCAGAAGCTTTCACTGATCTATGTATTTCAGTTTTATCTCACAAATAACTAACACCGTATCTCATTATTTCTGTTTTTCTTTTCTTAAAGTCTATCCTCAGGTTGAGAGTGACTGCACAGTGAACTCTGTAATTGCTTTTTGGGTCTATTTCTTGTCCTAGACACAGAACAATCTAAAGTTGCAAGGTTTTGTTTAGAGAGGACCCAAGTTACAGGTGAAGGGTCATAAGGGCATCTCTTCCCCTTGGGATAATATCTCACACGATGTGCGCATTTTCTGTGCTATTTGAAAGTGCAAATTTCCTTTGGGCAAGCTGGGTAACAGTGTAGTTCTGTTCAGCAGCCAACTTGAGTATGGAGCCAGCATCCCTTGTTCATCTGCTACTTTACTATTGGAAGAAAGTGGCAAATAGCCCTGAACTACTCCCTCCTCTGTGGTGTGCATGTGCAAAACAAAGATAAAAACTATGTTTCCTTCGTGGAAGGGTGTGGAGGCAGACAGTAATTTCAAATAGAAATAATGACAGCAATTGAGGTTTCCAATGAGGACACCGTCGCCACCAGAGGAAGAAGGAAAGAAGTTCATTCCTGAGAGAGGTATTTGATTCAACATTTAGACTGTCGTGTATGCACAGGTGCCTGGGACACTGCTGTTAATGAACTGATGTGACTGTTTGACAGAGATGCTGTCTGCAGGTTTCCATGATGTGGCCTGGAGAGGAGCAGCTTGAGGTATCCAGGACACCTGCAATTAGCAGAGTGAAACTCCAATGTTTTGATAGACAAAGACTTTTGTTTCTCGGGTCTGTTGCTTCTCTGTTATACCAATTAATTGTGAGAGTGGCTTATTCTTATAATGGTTTATCATTTTTAACTAATAACATTGACTCAGAGGAAAAGTTACCAGACTCTCAAGAACATGTATAATACTGTTTTAGGACCTTAACCAACTAACCCCCCTTCCACTATGAACAAGTAGTACTCAATCTTGCTGTCATCTTTGGGTGGTGTTTAAACATTTATTTCCAGGAGTTTGACACAGTGTGTATATGCCTGTGAGTGTGCCTGTGTGCACCTGTGTGGGCGTCTGTTTGGACTGGGGGAGGAGTGGAGAGAAAGTGAAATTTTAAGGGGATGGAAAGTCAGCAATATTGGATTCAGAGGAGTGGAAATTTAAACTGAAAAATAAAAGGGTTTTGAATGCTTTCTCTCTTAGTGAGAAAAGTGAATTCACTGCAAGCTACATATGTCCACAAAGAGTATTTATGAATATAATATGGAATTAAAATAGCAAGCAAACTTTCTAGAAATGGAAGAAAAATATATGACTGAAAAATGAGGCAGTGGTGAAGAAAATACTTTTTGAACAAAATTTGAAGCATCATGGCCAGCTGGGATAAAGTTTTAACAGAACAGGCTGGGCCATTTATAGATTACAGCACTTTTAATTTTGACAGTGTTACAAAGTGTTGATGTTGATAAAGAATTTGTTGATGCCATATCAATTTCTCCACGTGGAGAAGTGTTTTAGGGTGATTAGTTAAGCTTGGGGCTGGCAGCCAGAAGAGAAAACAGGCTTTCTGAAGTAGGAGAAAGTTGCCATTGCTGAACTTTTGCTCCTTATAGAAGTCCTGATGGTCCAGGGCAGAAGCTGTTTTCTTTCTTCATTTCTTTCAAAAAGTCTTTTGTGCTTTTTGGCATCATGAAGATCTTTGTGTATGGTTGATTAAATTAACATTACTTTCAATGACACTCCAAGGTCTAAAGTAGCCTTGCCATATAAAAAGTGTCATATTTGTGCAAATTGGTGCAGTAATTTAAAAGCTGAACCATGTAACAGGTTACTCCCTGTTTCAAGTCAAGGACCTACCTACTTGGTGTTAAGGAAGGCATGCTTAGGCAGGCTAGGACTTTTCAAAAGCAAGCCCTCCTTCCCAAATAACTGACTCTTGTCTTTGGTTTGCTTTTTGTCTCCGTGTACCAGGGACCTTTTGTCAGCTCCCCCTCCTCGCTCTTGCACCTCCTGTAACAGTCTTACTCATCCTTCTGCCTTGCTGCAGGCAGTCGACATGGGTGACGGGGTTTGACCTGACTGACTTCAGGCCTCACTCTCAGCTTGTTGTGGTAAGCAGGTGTGCCACACTTTAAATGCATTTTCTGGAAGTTTCTTTTTCTTTCCTACCTTCTCACATCCATACAAGCTTGTGTGCTTCACTGTGGCACTTGTCCGTGGAGCTTGTTCCCCAACAGAATACACCCTGCACTTCTGAGATTTGCTGTGCTTAGAGAAACTATCATTTTGTTGGTATTATTTTGGTAATAAGTATATTATTTAATTTTTGTTAATAAACATAATTATAGACTTTAAAATGTTAGTTGATAAAATGGATTTGAAGAAAAGGATAAAATACAATATTTTTATTGATTTTTTTCTACTTAAACACTCCATGATTATTGGAGAAATCAGAAAACATATAAAGAAAGCTAAAAATGAGTAAACTTC